CTGTGTGTGGTGGTTCTTGAAGCACTCACTCCAGCTGCAGTCCACTCTTTGTGAATCTCCCCCACATTTTTGAAGGGGTTTTGTTTCACAATCCTCTCCAGGGTGCGGTTATCTCTCTTGCTTGTACACTTTTTTCGACCACATCTTTTCCTTCCCTTCGCCTCTCTATTAATGTGCTTGGACACTGAGCTCTGTGAACAGCCAGCCTCTTTAGCGATGACCTTTTGTGTCTTGCCCTCCTTGTGCAAGGTGTCGATGGTCGTCTTTTGGACAACTGTCAAGTCAGCAGTCTTCCCCATGATTGTGTAGCCTATAGAACTAGACTGAAAGACCATTTAAAGGCTTTTGCAGGTGGTTTGAGTTAATTAGCTGATTAGAGTGTGGTACTAGGGGCCATCAATTTTGAACCTTTTCACAATATTCTAATTTTCTGATATGATGAATTTGAGATTTTCATTTGTTGTCATTTGTAATCATCAAAATTAAACAAAATAAACATCTGAAATATATGAGTTTGTATGTAATGTATGAATATAATATACAAGTTTCACTTTTTAAATGGAATTACTGAAATCAATCTACTTTTTCATGATATTCTAATTTTATGACCAGCACCTGTATATGTTCTCCGCATTCAGCCTTCATGCCCCCCTGTTTGAGAAAAATTGCTTAATTTTCCCATCCTAACAGATTAATGGTATGAGTTGTTAATATTACTACAAAAACATGCAACCATGCAACCTTTTTCCTGTTTGAAGGCTGACATACACTCCTAGGATGTTTGATTATTTGCTGATTTTACAAAAATAAGCCTTTTAGATGGTTTTAGCATTTACATTATCTTTAATGCAAATTTTACAGGCTCCTGAATCGCATATAAGTCTAACTGCCTGTCCATTAATTGCTAGAACTATTCATGTTTTTGGGAATGAGCCTGAATGTATCACATGTGTGTCAGCTGCATCTGAACTCTGCTGTAACTACCCCTTGCAGTCTGTAGGCACCATGACTAATTGCAATTTCCTTAACAAATCTCTGCCTAATAGATTAACTGGACTTTCTTGGCTTAACACAAAATCAGCTTCCACCATGAATCCCTCTTCATCAGTGACCAATTGTTTTTACCCTGTGACCATCAGCCCCTCACTTGAGCCCAATTATGGTCCAAACTACACTTCATAGCTGTTTCTATGTTTTAGGTTGCACATTCCACTTATTTAATCCCTCTAATTTTTTTTATTCCCTGTATGTAGCTTGAATGACTAAAATAATTTTCCGGTGGGTTATTAAAAAATTTTTCTGGTTCCGAACTTATAGTTTTGGAGACCCTGCAGACGCATTAGGAAGGCTGTCACTTGGAACAATGCTGCAGCCATCGCTCCAGTGACATCCCCCCTGCGCGCTTGTGCAGATTCACCCTCTAAACTGTGTTTCATTATCTTTTGGACACACAAACAACTTAAAAAACCCACAAATATAACTTTAGAGACAGAAACACATAACATTAAAACCGGACAAACACAACATTAGATCTATTTATTTAGTTTTTTAATAATAACATATTTACTTTGCGCATGTATTATATTAACAACTCGCCATTTGGAGCTTATTTATTTATTTATACTTTTACTTCCACTTCTACAAGTATTTTAAATTACTTGGATCAATCTGACACAAGCTTTTTCATCCCCTTTATGATATTCTCTATACTCTTCCTGAACCCATCCTTTTTAATTCTTTTACCTCCCTGGCTCACTTTAATTCTGTTATGTTATCATTTAGTTCTTATTATTTTATTTTGGAATAGAGGCTTCCCTCAAACCCATATTTTTACCAAGCTATATATTCAAGTGTTTATTTTTTGTTGGATCCTGCACTTCTACAAACTTCTAATTGTAGATTCTAAATGATCTCTAATTTATTTTGACCTTTACCCATTTTAAAGAATTTAGTCCAGTACAAACACCTAGGGTATTCTACGCACTGGATGTTTATTCAGCAGGACAGCACCCAAACACTGTTGTGGTCATTTCTGCTTCTACCTTTTCAGGTGAGAAATTCTTGCCTCTGCATCCACAAGAGTTGTACTGTATTAACCCCTGCTGTTTTAATATGAAACAACAGAACTTGAAAGGTTCGACTGTTTCCTGACACACTCTCACACAGTCACACACACCTATTCGAAGGCCAAAGATATTTTTTTATATTAACCAACATAGACAAAAAACATTTATCGTGTACACTTTGGAGTCTCCAGCTCCAGGACCTCGCATGCACAGGATACCCAGATACCAGATCTGTCTACAAAACTTGGCTTCATCAAATATCCCTGCTGCAGCTGCAAACCTTAATATCTCGAGAACAACACAGAGTCTCACACTCTAACGCACAGAATACCCAGATGCCACATCCATAAACAAGACATGGTCTCATCAAATATTCTTGCCACCAGTTATAGCTTTCATATGGTCCCAGACCAACTTTTGATCAAAAGCTTTCAGGCCTACCCTTTCGCTGCGCAGCTTCAGTCCTCTGGGAGTCGTCACCAGGATGCCCAGGGCAGGGCTGGACCAACCTATGGGCCCCGTCCGGCAAAGGGAGGATGGCTGTCAACAGATTCTTGGCCTTGGTCCCACACGGTCCTGGACAATTGGATCTTGACTATTTGTTCTGATAGACTCAATTCTGTCAACTCAATAGTACAATCCTCTCCCTATAAATATTAAATTATTTTTTAATTACGTTTTAATTAAACGTAAACAGCACATTTCTTCTTCTACGCTTGCATTATCGGCAGAGCAGACGCTGAATGCGCACTTTCATCTGGTTTGGTCTACCGCGGTTTCCGTAGGCTCGTGAACTCGCAGGCGCACGCTTTTAGGAAACCCTATACACTACTGTTTATGCTCTAAGCGCATTCTAAATGACTTCGTTTGGAGTAAATTATGGACGCTACCAACTCAGGACACTTGGAATACATTGGACGAGCAGTATGGAAGAATATTGACACGTTTTCTGTGGACTTTTATGGACCTTTCTGCCTCGGGCGCTATGGACCTCCATTATTTGAATGTCAGCAGACAGCAAGAAGCCTCCCAGATCTCCAGATGCATTTGAGATATCAAAAAAGTACTCCAGAGTGTTGTTCAGCATGGGGGTGAGTAGAAAATGAAGGCTAATCATGTTTTGGGTGTACTATTCCTTTAAATGAAAGGGGGATTCGAGCACTAATCATTGTCAAACAGTTAATTCTGCACATACATGGAATAAATACACCACAACTTCTGTTCAAAATATAAGAGTTTATTAACAAAAATCATTCAGCTTTAAGTCAAACATATTTCAGTTTAACACTCTCAACTAAGACTAGTGAAACTCAACTAAACTACTATGTACAAAGAGGAATGGGAAACATTGTTGAAAACCATATTACAGTTTAAGATGGAAATTGTGTTTGAAACCAAAGTTTATCTGGAAGAATTTGGAATATGATCAAATTAGCTTTTCCCTAATTTAAAGAAATTTGAATGTTTTCAAACCAATTCACAATGCAAATCCATGAGGTGAACAAAACATTATTTGGCCAAATAATGTTTATTAAATTATCTGGTTAATAAAAAAAAAACAAGAACCTTTATGAAATGATCAACATCATCAAAAGACATATTGTTTGTTCTGTCCCTAATTATGCCAGACCTGCAAACCATTTTTGTCCATGTCCATTCGGGAGGTTGAGTTTCCATCCAGCTGGAGTTTAGCAAGCAGGCTAACAGCAAAGCAGGTCCTCTCTGTCTCAGGCTCACAGCAGGGGTCCTCTATGACTCAGTGACTCACCAAGGCAGGCTTCCTCGTCCAGTCTGGGCCATACGTTCTGAAACTCAAGACAAATGTGTTGCAAAAGGTCTGTTTTGCAGCAGTTTGGTTCTGAAAGGTTTTGACTTATCTTTGATGATTCTGGAGATCTGGGTCTTTTTCTTGCTCCATTCTTGCAGGAGATCCTACCGAAGCAGACCCCAGCTTCATGGGCAAGGAAGACGAGGCAAAGAGAAAGAATCTGGTTTGTGCTCTGTGGTTTATTCTGTTCTCACGCAGAGGGGGCTCGGAAGTCACACCTCTGAAAAAGGGGGGTTGGAGAGATCTTATAGCTGGTTATTCCCCAAACCTTTATTTCCTTCTCTGGTCATCATGTCAAGACGAAATATGGACACTGGTTCCCAATGTCCAAAAACCATGATCATAGCATATGGCACAACACCAGCATCTTTAGTGCCTTATGAACAAGTGTTTTCAAAGGCCTGTGAGGTTTTGTCAAAAAAAAAAAAAGGAATCGATTGAAGCCAAAAACTGTTGATAAAATTATTATTTCTGAATAAAAATAACACCTGTTATTTTACTCATCATTGCCCAAGTTGCACAAGCACTTTCACTGTCTGTTTGACAGTGATTGGAGTAACGGCGTTTAAAGTAACGACGTTACTAATGGCATTACCTTTTTTAGTAATGAGTAATCTAACTAATTACTTTGACTGTAACTATAATGCAGTTACCATTGCCAACACCCCGTTACTGCACATTACTCAGGTCACACAATTAACATTTTTTTCATGAGAGGACTCGTGCGTGCCTTGTCATGAGAGACGGGAGGATGAGAATGGCTGATGTATAGTGAGATTACGTCTGTCGTTTGGGTAGGTGGGTGTTTCTGCTGGCGGGTGTTAACGTACAGCACACACAGAGAGTTGGAGGGTGAGGAGGACTCCAGCAGCAAAACAGCGTTTTCCAGATGGAAATACCGGTGATACGTCGAGCTGCGTTTCCCCATCAGATACAGTTTCCCCGGCATCTCTGCACAGCGCAGGCGGCACGATTCACCGCGCAAGTAACGGCAAACATGCATGCTCGCTAAAGGCATGTAACAGCTGCCCTGTGCTCGTGTTAGGTTCAAAAATGTAGGTTCGTAAAAAAAGAACTGAGTCCACACAGAAAAGTGTTTTTTTTTTAGCAGCTTCTGCAGAGGGAGACAGCTACACCCAACTCTCTAACGGACTTCCTCTGCAGAGCCCTTTTTATTAGCAATTCATAACACATGAAGTGTGTTCCAAAACAGAGTGTTCTTCTGACAAGGCAATTGATGAAGTCAGAGGACAGAATGCTCCTCTGATTGAATCACAGAACAGTGTGCTCTTCTGATAACTGTGATTTAGCCTTTGCACAAACATCATTAATTTTCCACCACCGTTGCATGACAGTTTGCAGTAAACAAGTGAAGCATCTCATTTCCTCAATGTTTTATATGCACACATATTAACTGTATAATCATCATTGAATAAACCTTACAGCTCGCACCACAGGGGAACTACAAAGAGTGTGAGCGATCAAATGTTAGCCTATATGGAGAAAGGGAAAAATCTGGATAGATGGATAGATAGATGGATTTTGCAGTATCCATAACAACCAAAATACACAGGATTTCAGAATTAGACATCCCCAGTTATTAATTTCATACACTCACCAGATCTAAAAAACTTCACACCCATGAGTAGAGGTAATGCAGCCTGATGATATTAATACCAATTCAACTGGCTTTTGAAAAACACGGCGAGAAGGTGGGGGCCGGGTGGTGAGGGTTACGGGGGCGAAAACGCAAAAGTAATGCAATAGTTACTTTTACTAGTAACTAGTTACTTTTATTGTGGAGTAACTCAGTTAGTAACTCAGTTACTTTTTGGGAGAAGTATCTAGTAACTAATTACTTTTTCAAAGTAACGTGCCCAACACTGCTGTTTGAGCTTATGTCACTAAAATGACAGTGTACATTTAAAGATCATTCTTTTCTAAGAAATTTCACACACCCAAAACCTTACAAGGGACTTTTTTATACACACTAATCATGAACAATTTTAAAGGAACTTAACTAGGAAAAAAAAACACAAATAATTGCAAGCATCACATATTATATTACTAACTGAATTTATGAACTCCACCAGTAGGTGGTGACATGTGCAGATGAGGCCTCATGAAGCAATAAGCCAAATGGTTCAAATGCCTCATGAGGCTCCCTCACCATCACTAGTTGTGACCAACGAAGCAAAAAGCAGTGAGTATCTGTCCGAACAGTCAGGTAAGTGAGTTTGCAAAAAAGTCCACTATAATGTCCCTGCTCTGTATAATGATTGTACTTTTAAAGTGTTACTTTAACACTGCAACATTTACTCTGAATATATTTACAGTAAAGGATCAGATAAAAACATTTTCTCCTGATTTCTTTTCTTTTGCAAATCTGTATCTAAATTTGGTTGAAAGGGGGTTCAAACATCAGTTTTTTAAATAGTAACACTATTTCCAATTTTTTCCGGATCCAGGTATTCGTATGGGACATCCAGCTTCTCGTTTCTTTTCTTGATTTCATCACTCAGCTGCTTCAGCTCATTTTGGAATGCTTTAATCAGGCTGTGGGGCTCCTTCTCAGTGAAATGCTCCTCTGGGTAATTGCCTAAAGGGACCTGAGGAAATAAAAAAACATGCTATAATATTTTCTACTGAAATTTGCATTTAGTTCAAGTTATATCAACTAAAAGTAATATTTAGCATCTTAGCATCTCTAAAGTGTATTTTGCTTTTCTTTTAACTTTTCTAGCATATAAAAATCTGTTTAACAAATCTCAAATGTTTTCAACCAGAACAGCTTAATTGAGCATAATAAAATGAAAATATACTGAACACTAGTCTTAATTTCACCGATTTGTCTTAAGGGCTAAAAATAAATAGACAAACATACAAAACCAGTGTATTTTACTGAAGTTTGTTGAGGTTTTCCCACTTACAACATCAGCATATTCCTGGGTCAGCACATACAAGGTGTTTGTGGTACTATATGTTGTTGATTTGTCTGGCAGTGCCTCCATTATGGTGGCCTCACTTGCTTTCCCCTTTTCGGTCGGTGGGGGACGTTCCATGGTGCTCGGCAGGTTGGGCATCCAGCCACCGAAGTCATACTGGGGTAAACAAATAACTTGTCATAAGATTTAATGAATAATAAAACATTTTGAATCAACAGTTTGATGTGTTCGACAATAATAAAAACCAGACTGGGGAATATTTACAACACAGTGATTTGCATAAAACAAATAAACATCTTTTTGGTTCACAAGTTTAGCAAATTCAGTTATTTATTTTTTCGGTCTTACTTTACTATACCATTACTGTGAGATTAAAGTGTATATAAATAAAAGTCAGAAATTGGAATAATTCTGTCCATCAATCCATCAAGATTTAAACAACATTAATATAGTTAAAGGATAATGTATCAAAGAATTGCTGAGTATATCTAACATGTAAAATATAAAACTTGACCTGTCCAGAGTTCACAGCAGAATGCTGGACCGAGCCAGTGAAGATCACCATGGTGACGAACTTGACCAGATCAGCCACTGTGGTCAATTTATTTGGGATTCCTAAAAATAAAAAAAATGTTTCAGAAATATATACAGTATTTGCTTCCTATTTAAAGATTGTATGCCTCCACTATATACAGCTCATCCAAAAAGGTTTACATGGACTCAATGTTTACAACATTATCATCATCTGGGTTTTTCAGACTTGAATACATTTTAAATGCACAAATCAAAGGCCTTCTAGAGAGATTTTTAACTGTCAGACATTACTCTTTTGATTTGCTAAAATAATCCTTTGTGATATCAGGTAACTTTGTGGGTTGAGCAACAGTGAAGCTTTTGATTTTTAATTCTATGGATTAATAGACTTTCTTAGTGTAGCCCAGGGATAAGTCATTAGTAATAGTGTGTACAGTGAGCCTTAATTTTCTTTTTCTTGAGGAGAGAGTTTTTTAACCTTTAACATTCCTTAGAGCATTCCTAGTAATAAGAGTGAGTCTGAGTTTGCTGTGTACATGCTAAAAGCTGACGGGGAACTTGAGCTGTTGCTGCACCAAAACTCTATAAAGCTTTTCCTCTCAATTTTAAGCCCTGCACCTTTACTTGTCCAAAACAAATCACATACAAACTAACCCTGATTTAGATGTTTAGTGTGAGTAAACCCTAAAGCCTTTGATCTCAATTGGTGTGAGAATAAATACCAAGTCTGTACCAGAAAACCAACCACAATGTCTTCACCATAAATTCTGAAAGAGGGGGCATGGCAAATATAATCCCAAATGTAGAACCTTACACAATTTTCTTATGTGAGCTTAACTGAAAACCGACCTGAATTTGTGTTGGAAAGAAATCCACGTCGAAAAATATCCCTTATCCAATTCTGCAGCTCAGGGTCCTCCTCCACGTCCTCGTCAGTCTTGTAGTAGAGATTCAGGATTCCTGCAACAAATCTTTTTCAGATAGAGGATTGCATTATTCAAAATAGATTAATACTACATTAAAGACTTACTCCACAGCCATATGAACAAGATAGGGACACCTTTCATTTTACAATAGTGTAAAATTAGTTAATATAAATGGATATAGAAAGAGAAGAGAACTAAAATGTTTTGTTAAATGTAATAAAAAAAAATTTTTCCACCTTAAAATGATATATTATATTAATTATCTTGTGCCTTGAATAAATGGCATTATTATCAATCTTTGCATTTGACATGCATTCATAAGCTATTAGTTTTCTGATTGGCAGTGATGTATATTTTAAGTAAAGATGCCCTGATCCGTCTACAATTTTGACTAATTATCTGGACCAATTCATCATTCTGAGGCCATAATCTCTTTATTAAATTACTAAAAACGACTTAGAGTTCTACCCAAAAGTGGGTAGTGTACTCAACAAATTGTACTAAAGTAAGAAAAGCACTACACCATTTTTTTACCCAAGTAAGCTGGTCTTAACTAAAAAGACTACTTAAACACTGAGTAATAGTTTAATCATAATATTTTAGTTAATTTTGGAAATAAAGCAGGTAGACAGACATTATTTGCAAGTTTGGATATATAGAATACTAAAATAAATAACACAGTAACAAAAAAAGTGAGTAACAGGGTAAAAAACCTCCTCTATGTAGATGTTTACAGAATATTAATCCAGTCACTACCCAATTCTGTGTAAATTAGGTGTTTAACTTTTTCAAGGAATAATTTAAACTAAAGATTAGAAATCATTGTGAACATCTGGAAATTAAGAGCTGAATATTCAATTATAAAAATAATTTCTTAAATTAGTAAAGAAAAAATACCAAAGGCATTTTAAGAAATTCCTGAAAGTGACTTTGTAGTTATTAAATGAAAAAAACAAAACGTCTTTCACATGTTTGATAATCCAAGTTTAAAACATAACCAATTGTACCTGTGTAGGCTGTTCCACAGTTTCAGTCCATCATCTCTGTAGTAGAAGTTCGGAGTATTTTCCATCCCACGATCTGCAATGTCATCAGGTATGCAGAGGGATCTGTACGTCATTGAGGACAAGGATTTCCCCAGGATTTTGAACATACCCTCTCCACCCGAAGATGCCACCTAATGAAAAATGTATTACAAGTTAAAATATTTTCATTTGTAAAACACAAATGTCGTTACCAACCAAAACAATGTTTTCTCACCGTTGTCAAGACACCATTCTCAGATATTAGGACCTTTCGTGCCAGGACATTAATATGCAGAGTGTAGCGAGTGTGGGGTATGAGAAGCTGAGGACAGAGTAAAAAAATCATTAACCCTCATGCCTTTTGGTTTTTCTTGTGCCAAACACAAACAATGGCTAATTCAGAAAATGTGTATGAAGTTGGACATTCAATTAAACTAAGGAAAAATGGCCCTCTCTCAATATGCCTACTTGAGCATTGTCATGTGCTCATGACACATCATAAGCCCCAACTGGCAAGAACACAAGATCCAGAACGCGCAAAATTCCTGGTATATTGTTCCCGCCCCTCAAGAGCTCAGAGTATTAAGTTAAAAGTCACTTTTCTGTTGCTGTTGTTCTACAAAAAGTTTTCAGATCATTTGAGGCAAGAACCTTATAATTATAATCTTTGATAAATGAGGAGGTGTCAATAAAATGTCCAAATACTTTGTTACCGTATTACGTAGAAATGTTGGCTATCTATACTTTACTGGAGTAATTATTTTTTAGACGTTTTACTTCTACTTCTTAAAATTTTTGCAACTATATCTCCTTACATTTTAAAAGTAGATTTGCTAGTTTTGTTCCATTTGGACTCATTCACAATATGGCCTGTTGTTATTTTAAAAAATTTAATCCATGAAAATAATTTGTTTTATCCAGACAATTATTTCTTTGTTATTGGACTCGGTACTGCACCAACTTTTTCTTCACTTAGTACCAAAATAAATACTTTTTTAAGATGTTGCAAAGTCAAAATGTTGTTATAAAATAAAAAAAAAATTAAGTCTAAGGAAATTATCAATTATCATCCAGAATTGTAGAAAATCTTGAAAAAAGTTTATTTTTTTGTTGTTTCATTTTGCAAAACATTCATTTTTAATTTGTGTTCATCTGACAGCTTTAATCATTATTCCAATCCAATTTTATGTGTTGAGCACTTATAAAACAAGCACAGCAGAACAAAGTGCTGTACAGAATACAGTACAAAATAAATAATACAGCTAAAACATGGGTAAGAATAACATTCACACAATCAAATCAATAAATTTGGGTTAAAGATCAAAGGAATAAAAGGATTAAAATAAAGTCCACTGTCCTGCTAGGTGTCAAAAGCTAAAACGGAAAAGGTGGGTTTAGACAACAGAGTTAAAAAAGCTAGAGAAGAGGCCTGTCTGATGTGCTGAGGCAGGTCATTCCAGAGCTTTGAAGCTACAACAGCAGCTCTGAGCTTCTGCTTATATTTAGGATTTATCAAGAGCAGCTGATCTATAAAGATGTAAAAACTCAGAGAGGTATGGTGGGGATGCCAAAATATATGGGCAGCCAGTGGAGTGAAGCAAGAACGGGACGTGCTCATGCTAGCGTGTGCCGGTCAGAAGGCGCGCTGCAGTATTTTGAAACTTCTGGAGACGGAAGATGGAGGAGGCACTAACCCCTATATAGAGGACATTGCAATTCTCCAGCCGAGTGGTAACAAAGATGTGGATTACCATTTCAAACTGTTGCCCTGAAAGAATGGCTTTATTTTGGCAATCTGTCTCAAATTGTAAAACCTGATTTATAAACTTCACATCAGGCTATCAAACTTCAAATCTGTATCTACTTTACTCCTAGGCTAGTGATGATTGGTTTGATATGCTGGGCCCAGATCTGTTCCAGTGGTGTCACCAAAAACCAACATTTCAGTCTTTTTTTCATCATAATCTAAAACGTTCAGAGACGTTCAGCGAGCATCTTTCTTTTTAAGAGGGACATACATTTGACTGTCATCTGCATAGCAATGCTAAAACAATCCTTTTTTGCTCCCATGCTTTTTAAGTATGGATCCAAGCAGGAGCAAATAGAGAGGGAACAGGAAAGCACCCAAAAGCGAGCCTTGGGGAACGCCACATGAGAGAATACCAGAGGAAGAAATAGAGTAAACCAAGTATGACCTGAACCATTCCAGAGCTATACCTCTGATGTAGTGAAGTTACAATTTATTAGGATGATGATTTTTATTATTATTATTATTATTATTATTATTATTATATAGAGACTGTTAAAAACAGGAAATTGAGAAACAGCAAATCTAAACTTTATGCTAAGAAGCCTGCAGTCCTGCAGGTTCACTTACCTTGTACAGCGGATGAACCATAGGTAAGTTGCGCCACGTGGACACTGCAAAGACCTCAGCCAGCAGGTGAGTGCGCAGCAGGTGAAAGTTGAGCTCATGCAAATTAAATTCTGCACTTCTCACAAAAGTTTTTGCCAACAACCAGTCTTGCGGAGAATCAGTAGGAAGGAAGATTGGGTTGTCTGGTCCTGGCTTCTGCTTCAGCTATAAAATAATAAGGCAGTGTAAGGGTTCATTTACGCTTTGGAATTAAATTCGTTAGTGATTATTGCACACAAAAAAGCCTTGGAAGTTTAAATAATTATTTATTGTATTTCTATGTTATGGTTTCTTGGACTGTTTTGGTTTTAAATTGAAGAGTTGATATTTAATCACTTTAACTTGTTTAAATTGCATTGGCATTTGCCCTCCTTTATTTAAGATATATATAATATTTTAGAAGCTTTTCTTCCTGTTAGAGTCAACTATCAGTGAAGAATAATAGAGTGGTTGGGGTCCATTTGACGAAGCAGGTTTAATAAACTCAGATCCAAATCTCCAACTCTAAATTAATCTAGCCTAACGTCGGGAACTCTGAGTTGTCAGTTTCACAACAGCTGCTATGAATAGTTCAATCCACTCTAAGTAGGTCCACTCTGAGGTAAGCGCATGCACAACAAGCATGAAAAGCCATTATCAGTGGAGTACTAATTCGGACACAGAGAAACAGCACTACAGCTGCAAAATAGGGGAAGATGGAGGAGAAGATATTTGCTTGAGTTGGGTTTACATGTAGTGCACTATGGCAGGCCATTTTATGTTTATTAAAAGCACTCTCCTCTCTTTTGTTCCATTTGTAGATCACTATAATAAAATTATTCCTGATATAAAATCACAATCCTAGACTGACCAGTAATAATATATTTTCTGAAACTGAATTTTAGAAAGTACAAAACACAACTATAAGAATTATGCTTTATATATCCTGAAATGTTTACACGTTTTAAGTGGACATTTTGACATTTATCAGCTTGACTGAATATGTATTTATGGTATCTGAAAAGAAAAAATGTCATAGTTAAAATAATGCAAATCCTGACCAGTAATATTAGGAATATGGAGATCTGAAATTCATTTCTAGACATCGAGAATGTTTATTCTACATGTGGGAAATTTCATTTTGTTTGAAATGGTAATTTAGACAAAAAAAAAAGAATGTTTTTTCAGATATCAGGAATACATATTCAGTAAAACTATTACATATCAAAATGGCATACCATCACAGTATTATTTCTTGAATGGTAGTAGATCAATTTATCTATTTAGGTGAAATCTTCTGGCAGCAGATGAAGATGAAGTCTAAAAACTAATATATAGAACCTGTGCATCATCTAATGGGTTCCTCCTCTTATTGATTCAGTCTTGTTTTACAAAATAAATACTAAATGATTGTTTGCAGCAGCGCTTTGTATGTTATCATCCCAATAAATTTGTTATTGGGATGATAATGGTTTGTTATTAGCAACTATCAGGCCCATAGAATGGCTTCATATTTTACCAGTAGGCTCCATAGGTTATCATCAAATTAATCCTAACCCTAAAGTAATTCATTTTCCTCTGAGGAATTAATTAATCTACTTATGAGTAATCTGAAAATAGTTGCAGTAGTTCTTCATGTACTGTGAATATATTTAAATAAGAAAATTAAATGATCCACATGTCACCCATGTCATGTATTTATCCGGGTTAGTTCAATAACGAGGAGACGGGTAATATGGAGGTTGCGGTCCGCTTTACTGAATAGAACTGGCAGGATACAGGGAAAAACAATCCCCTACGTAACACGGGGGTACGGTGGCCGCCGAGGCACATACATAGCAACAGTGAAACCCGATTTAATATCTAACATTTCCTCCCCCTCTATTTAGTAACACTAACCCCAGAATAAGATAACGTACCCCCAACAGGGGATAACACCTAACTTCAAAATTTCCAAACCACAAGAAAAAAGGATATGAAAGTCCATCAACTACAAGTTCAGGCGGTCAGGAGGCCGTCGCTCCCGCGTGGGATACCGGTGAGGATGGTGGGTCACCGGAGACGACGGTGGCGCTGAATCCGTTGTCAATGGGGGCTGGGGAACCTGGTCTGTGATGTTGTCCTCTTGAAGGGTGGTTGACAGGGTGTCAGGGGCGGCCTGGTCCTCCACCTCGTCTGCCCCGTCGGAGATATCTTGCGGGGGGGGAACCCATTGGTTCCGGGGCAGGGCCTTTGCTGGCCAGCAGTTGGTCCGTATGACGACGCCACACTAAGTCATCGTTGGTGCGTACTTGGTATGACAGTGGCCCAGTAATGGCCACTACCTTCGCTGGCACCCACCTGGGACCCCTTAGGTAGTTGCGAGCTAGGACCGGGTCACCAATGTGAAAAGACCGTGGTGTGCCTGCCCTACGTTGGCTCTGCTCTTGCTGACTGCTCAGGACAGTTTGGCTCCTTGACTGCGGCCGTATGCAATCCAATTGGGTGCGCAGCGCTCTTTTCAGGAGGAGTTCAGCGGGCGACGCCTTAGTGGTGCTGTGTGGTGTGTTTCGGTAAGTCAGCAGGAAACTGTACAGTCGCTGATGAAGGGAACCTTGGAACACTGAAGCCTTTAGACTGTGCTTCAAGGTTTGTACGAATCTCTCCGCCAGTCCATTGGTGGACGGGTGGTAGGGTGCTGACTTAATGTGTTGAATTCCATTCATCTTGAGGAAGGCCTCCATCTCTTCTGCGACAAATTGGGGTCCGTTGTCGCTCACCAGCTGTTCCGGTATTCCATACCGGCTGAACATTTCCTCCAGACGCTCAATGGTTTTCCTGGTGGTTGTAGAATGCATGATGGCCACGTCTGGCCATTTGCTGTGAGCGTCCACCACCACCAACAACATTCTGTCTTCGAATGGTCCCGCAAAGTCAATGTGTATACGCTGCCACGGCTCCGCGGGCCATTCCCATGGATGGACTGCTGCTGGTTTAGGTGCGTTTCGCACAGTTTGGCAGGCAGTGCAGCGGCCTGCAAAGTCCTCGATGTGCTGGTCTAGCCCCGGCCACCAGAAATAGCTGCGGGCCAGCTCCTTCATACGCACTATGCCACAGTGCCCGACGTGGAGTTGTTTCAGCATTGGGCCCCGCAGAGAAGGGGGTATGATGACCCTTCTGCCCCACAGCAAACACCCCAACTGTGCAGAAAGCTCTTGTTGCCTGACCAAATATGGTTTGATGTCAGGCGTGCTTGGGATTCTCCTGCCTTTTATGATGGCATCCATTACAGCTGATAACACCGGATCGTTTCGGGTGGCACGTCGCACCTGTTTAGCAGTGACAGGGGTGTCGCTCACGTGCTGGAAGTAGAAGATGTCGCTTGGTTGGGTCATTGGCTTTGCTACGCGGAGCGGTAAGCGGGAGAGGCCATCCGCATTACCATGCAATTCGGATCGGCGGTACTTAATGTCATAATCATGGCCTGAGAGCAGCAGGGCCCATCTCTGCATTCTGCTTGCGGCCAATGGTGGAATGCCCGCGTGTGGCCCCAGCAGGGCTGTCAGTGGTTTGTTGTCAGTTAGAAGCGTAAATCTCCTTCCAAAAAGGTACTGGTGGAATTTCCTTATTCCAAACACGATGCTCAGTGCCTCCCGCTCGATCTGTGCATAGTTACATTCAGCCTTATTAAGGGTCTTAGAGGCGAAAGCGATGGGTTTATCCGTGCCGTCCGGCATGATGTGTGAGACCACCGCGCCAACTCCATAGGGGGATGCGTCGCAGGCCAACTGAAGTGGCAGTGCAGGGTTGAAATGTGTAAGCACCTCCGAGTTCAGCAGGGCTTTCTTCGAGCTGGTGAAAGCTATCTGGCAAGCCTCTGACCACTCCCATTTCTTACCGTGCCTCAGTAGCTAGTGGAGGGGCTTCAATAAGCTGGAGAGATTGGGGATGAACCGACCATAGTAGTTCAGGAGCCCCAGGTATGAGCGTAACTGGTTGACGTTTTGTGGTGCTGGGGCTTCCAAAATGGCTTTGGTCTTGGAGGGGGCCTTGTGTAGACCTTTATCATCGATCACGTGACCTAGGTACTCAATGGAGGACTGAAAAAACTCACATTTCTCCTTGCGGACTTTCAGTCCGTGTTCCCTCAGCCTCTGTAGTGTCATGTCCAGGTTGTGAAGATGATTGGCGTTGTCCCTCCCCGTTATAAGGATATCGTCCAAGTAACACTGCACCCCTGGGAGGCCCACCAGAATCTGATCCATGGCCTTTTGGAAGAGTGCAGGGGCCGATGTTATGCCAAAAGCCAAACGGCGGGTACCGAAAAAGGCCCTTGTGTGTGCTGACTGTCAGTAACTCCGGCATCTGTAGGTAGGCCTGGTTCAAGTCAATTTTACTAAACTGTTTGCCATTTGCTAGACCTGCAAAAAGGTCTTCAATTAGGGGCAGCGGATAGTGTTCATTTTGCAAGGCTGGGTTAACAGTCACTTTGAAATCGCCGCAAATTCGTAGACTGCCGTTTTTCTTAAGGACGGGCACAATTGGGGTAGCCCAGTCACTGACAAGCACAGGTTCGAGCACCCCACTATTCACCAGATTGTCCAGCTCTTTTTCTACTTTCGGACGCAGTGCATATGGGACCGGCCTTGCCTTGATGAATTTGGGGATGCTGCCTGGTTTTAGGGTTAACTTTGCAGTGATACTTTTCATGTGTCCTAATCCCTCAGTGAAAAGTTCGCTGTGTTTCTTTAAGACAGCTTCTAGGGCGGTCTCACCTTGACTAAGCATGCGGATAGTAGGCCAGTCAATCCGCACCTTATCCATCCACGAGCGGCCTAGCAGGGACGGGTAGTTGCCACGAACAACGTATAGGGGCAGCTTTACGCGTTGTCCATTTAACTCCACCTTAACATTGACCAGGCCCTTCACAGCCACTGCCTCCCCTGTGTAGGTCTTCAGCACCACCCGTGCTTGTTGGATTGGTAAGTGGTTTAAGTGTTCTTTGTACACCGTCTCTGAAACTAGCGACACTGCTGCCCCGGTGTCAATTTCCATCCGTACTGGTTTACCTTCCAGTATTGGTGTTGTCCAGTAGCTGTCAGACCCTCCAGCTAGCGACAGAATGTGGAGGGGCACCTCCTCATCATCTGTAGATTCGCTGGTGTCACTTTCCTTTTTCATCACATGCACCGTTTTTTTATGTGTAGCGGCTCTCCTGCGTTTGTCTGTGCTTCTGTACGTTGAACTAGTCCCTTTTTTTTTACTGCGACAAGCCTTTTCAATGTGACCTTTTTTTCCACAGGCATGGCAGTCTAGTTCCTTACACCAGCACTCTGCTGCCATGTGCCCTGTTTGGCCGCAGCGGTAACATGGCCTTGTTGGCGTGCTGTCCTCTGCACCTGCAATCTTCAGCACTTTAGCTGTGGATGCACTCAGCTGATGTGCCTCCTTTGCAGCCAATTCCATTGACACACTGATTTCAATTGCTTTTTTTAGAGTTAATTTGTCCTCAGTCAGCAGTTTTCTCTGAGTGGCCTCGCTGCGCAGTCCACAAACCAGCCTGTCACGAATTGCATCCTTAAGCGTGTCTTCTGAAAATTCACAGTGCTCTGCTAATTTCCTGAGCGCAGCTACAAACATCGTCACTGTCTCACCCTCCTCCTGATTACGTTTATAAAATCTGAAACGTTCAGCAATCATCAATGGCCTGGGTGAGAAATGGTCACTTAGAGTTTTAACAATAGCGTCATATGTGAATTCTCCTGGCTTCTTGGGCTGTGCCAGTGCCCGAAAAACATTGAAAGTCTTTGCGCCCATTACAGTAAGAAAGGTGGCTACCTTTTTCTCTGCGCTGATCCCATTGGCTAGAACGAAGAATTCAAAACGCTCCGTGTAGGCGCTCCATTGCTCCACCGTGTCATCAAACGGTCCAATGTCCCCCACAACACCCGCCATCATAGAAGGAGTTTCTCCGCGTTGCCTGCCGTCTATCTGTCCGTTGACGGTCGGTTGAAATGAACTTTCCCGTTCGGCGTCGCTTCTCTGTTGCCCCAGCAGTGCTAAACTTTCGGCGCTTCCTCCCGCGCTTTCATCCGAGGAGGTGCTGCTCATTTAGCACAGAAACAGCCAACTACGCACATGACTTGAAAACAAAACGGCTATTTGCCCCCAAAAAAAAACACTACACGTGAGGTCAGACGCATCCTCGTCGCCAATTGTCATGTATTTATCCGGGTTAGTTCAATAACGAGGAGACGGGTAATATGGAGGTTGCGGTCCGCTTTACTGAATAGAACTGGCAGGATACAGGGAAAAACAATCCCCTACGTAACACGGGGGTACGGTGGCCGCCGAGGCACATACATAGCAACAGTGAAACCCGATTTAATATCTAACAACCCATATTAAACAAACCAACACAAGTAACCTGTCAACTGAGTTGTAGAATCCTCTCCCTATAAATATTTAATTCTCTGTGAATTAATGCCGATCATACTTTAATTAGATCCTCGTCAATCAGACATTGCAATGTTTGATTTTAAAACCTAATGTGTCTAACGGACCTAGAAAATGATATATGTATATTTTTTATGCACAAAACTATGACAAAAACGTACTAAATGAGGAAATAAAACAACCTGATTAGCTGTAAGGAGAGCGGAGACAGACAACACCTGCTACTGACCAGGTTAGCTCTGGGGAGGATGTTTATATGGTGATTGAAAGACAGGTTGAGGAAATTCTCTCTTTATGAAAAGGAAAAGTCAGAGTTTCCCTGTTTTCAGGTTTAGAAAACAGAGATTTCTGCAATCATAACCCCACCTTGGTGCAATCGATATCTTCATAATGAAGACCTTTTTATCATTTTCCGACAGAATCATTTGTTAATTATTTCTGTGCGTAGCGCAATTAGTTTTTGACAAATAAAACTTGCCTGAATTGCAATAGGCACCAGTTTATCATCAGCTTTTTTATAGAGCAGCACAAGTGGAGCCGCCAGGTATTGCTGCTTTCCATGGATTTCTCTTGTTTCTACTTCATCCAACAGCTTGTAGTCACACAGAAATATGTTGCCACACTGTTGTAGAAACAAAAATATAAAATATATTTATTGATCATTTTCTGGTAAATAATATCACATTTTTTTAACAATCAGGCTTTTAGCATAAAAACAATTTTAGAATCACCTGCATTTCCTGATCCAGCCAAGAGGGACCGTTGCTGTGCTGACTGATCATGTCATCAGTGACACGAAAGTTGTCAGGCAGGGTCTCGCAGCGTCTGATCACCATGGGGTTAAGACCATTCAGGAACTGGTAGCCAAAGAAATCATCATCCTTCCAGTTGTTTTTGACATAGTCTGTAACAAAGGACAGAATTTACATCTTGCTTTTTGCATGTGTGAGGGTGTGAATTTATAAGGGACTAACTAAATGCCAAAATATATATGTATTATATATCCAATCATAATAGAACATACCCAAAATTTTGTTCTCGCTGCAGTCCGCCATTTCATCAATCTGATTAAAATCAGACCATTTACCATCTTTAAAAAAGGATTTAATTTTTTCCCAAATGAAGCTATGAAGTTAGAAGAAACACTGTTACTGAAATGAATGCATTATAATACGTGCAAGATGTTTCAATACTGTCTGTTTGTGCAAAGTCACAGAGAAAAGTTTGATTATCATCAACATTTAGAACATAAGGACTTACGCTATAAATCCCTGAGTGTTAAGCCATATTTCCTTGAGCAATATGAATTGGGCGTCTAAATGCAGGTCAGTCGGTTCTTTTGCTTTGATATGATCAGGTAGTCCTTCTCCAGATGTTTTCCAGCTGAAAAGGTGTTAAAGTAAATAGTTTTTACCTTCAGCGTTTTGTTTTCTGTTCAGATTATTGGATCAGTCCTATAAATAATTATCTGTCATCCAAAAGTGAAAAAGATTTGTTGGCATAAATGTCATTTCTATACCAACTCTCATCACTCACCGATATGCTTCTTGCCGATTATCAAGCTCTTCCTGTCGACTGGATGAGTCGAAAGGGTCCTTAGAGGGTATAAAAGCTAAAGCAAACATAGCAAGAATTTAGAGTTAAGGTAAAAGATGCAGATTTACACTTCCAGTTCAGATAAACTCTTATTGTAATTTTTTCCACCTCTCTCTCTCTCCGAATATATATATATATATATATATATATATATATATATATATATATATATATATATATATATATATATATATATATATATATATATATATATATATATATATATATATAGCGTGGATGTAACAATGAATCAGACTTCCAACCTGTGTAGGTGTACTGTGAAATCACCATATTGAACGTGACGTGCTGACATGAATCCAGCTATAAAGACACAGGTGTTGTGCCAACAGTTACCTTCCTTCTCGCACACTGATTAGAATGAAATATGAACGAAAAGGAAACTTTTTTGCTATCAACACAATTCTATATAATTTCTGACAAAAGAATACATTTAAAAGTTCCATTTTCATTCATATTTCAATCAATTTTCTCATCAAGTCTATTCAATTGAGCCATAATGTGGATTAATCTAGATTAATGCTAAGTTTACAGTGAGATTAATAAAATCAATCTATGCCCACTACTAATACACACTATATATATATATATATATATATATATATATATATATATATATATATATATATATATATATAGTGTGTAGATAGATAGATAGATAGATAGATAGATAGATAGATAGATAGATAGATAGATAGATAGATAGATAGATAGATAGATAGATAGATAGATAGATAGATAGATAGATAGATAGATAGATAGATAGATAGATAGATAGATAGATAGATAGATAGATAGATAGATAGATAGATAGATAGATAGATAGATACCTTTAATATTTTAACTTACAAAGGGATGCTGAAATATCTGAATATGTTAATCACCATAATTTCGTGTTCTACTTATTTATTCATAAGGCACGAAAAAGCTTGAACAATCACTGTACTTTCTGATTCTGATAACAAAAGAAAATATAACAAGATCCATGGAGAGCTAGAGATTTACACTAGTATCAGGACCCTTATGAGGCCATATCATAGAAAACTACAAAATCGTTTATTAATGTAAAACAATAACTAATTAAAAATTCTTCAATTTGACCTTAAATGGTTGATGTGAAGTGAAACACTTCAAACATGAAAGCCAATGACCCCAAATATATAAACTCATATCAAAACGAGTGCTAGAAAAATGAACTATGGCTCCTTGACAGCCCTGTTTCTAAACCTTCAAACTTTAAGCACTATGCGTACAAACTGTATCATACAAAAAAGCAAAGCAACATCAATAAACCCAGTTCTGCCTAGAGTTTAAATACTCATCAAATAATAAGCTTAAAAGTATTTTATCTTCATGCCCTTTCTTAAAGGGTATTTAACCAGGTGACAAAAGGTGGCTATGAGTAAAATCATACTCTAGGTTTAGCCTAGTTTTCATTTTTGGGGAAATAATGATGAAATTCTCCCTTATGCACTAATATTTAGTCAAATTAAGACTACATGCTGCAATTCAATAGTGCTTGAGGACTGGTTGTATTATGGTAATAATATTAAATCATGCATATTTGTCTATCTGTTTTAAACTGATAATCTGAGATTAATTCTTTAAGCATTGGACAAATGATCTGTATAATGCAACCTTACAGTAGAATCATTGGACATACGTGGTTTATAGCAATAAGATGTAAGTTGAATGAATTTGCACAAACCTTGACCCTCTCTGAAGTAGTGTTTCTCACTGTCAGTAATCCAGGTGTACAGGGGGAAGATGTAGGTTTCATTTGTGTCAGTTTTGACTTCTATTTTTGTCGGAAACCAATGGTCATTCAAAAAAAGCAAAGGCTTCTTCTGAACCACTACTTGCTGCAGTTTTCCAAGAGCTTTCTCTGTGGTTATGGTACATTTTAACTCCTAAAACAATGACAATTGAGAACATGATACAGAAGAAATAACTTAACTTGTTTTAACAAAGAGACACATATTGAAACAAAAAAAAAACGTGTACTACCATTCCTAAGAAGGATTTTGCTCCAGAGAGCCATGTTGTTTTGCTTTGTCCTTTTTCCCCCACCAACGTGATGTATATATATTCCCTAGTGTAGGCCTTAAATCTTTCAGAGTTATGCACAGTGACTTCATAGTTCACCATTTTTACTCTTGGCAGTAAGTCACTTCTGATGGGAGAAAGAGGTTGCATTAAGACATTTAGAATGACTACCAATAGATTAACCTGCATTTAGAAAACATTCTGTTGCATCATCATGATGCTTAAGAGAAGAACTACACATAGCAGCTAATTTAAATAATTTCTCATCTAAACTGATGATTGTAGTCTGATAAACCCTTAAAAAAATAAATAAATAAAAACATGCATGTTACCTCTACAAGAAAGTCCAGAAGGTTCCTCTGAGGATCTGAAGCAATGTTGCCTCTCTTGAACCAACCCCTTATATACACAGATGGTTGAGAACATTTCTGGTCTGGAAATGTGAAAAATTCATTGGAAACCGTTATCTCGCTTAAAATACCATGGAAAGAATATACCTCTAAAACAACGCCTTTCTTAGGAACAACTAACAGGTTACCGTTATGAAATTGTTGGTCCAGGGTTCAAGGAGCACATGATGACAACACAGATCCGGAGTGTAAGAGGACTTCAGCACAAATGTTATAGTATCAGAAAACATCACAAATGTTTCATTTTCATCACTGGAGTTTACTCATATATATATACACTATATTGCCAAAAGTATTTGCTCACCTGCCTTGACTCACATATGAGCTTAAGTGACATCCCGTTCCTAATCCATAGGGTTCAATATGACGTTGGTCCACCCTTTGCAGCTAGAACAGCTTCAACTCTTCTGGGAAGGCTGTCCACAAGGTTTAGGAGTGTGTTTATGGGAATTTTGTACCATTCTTCCAGAAGCGCATTTGTGAGGTCGCACACTGATGTTGGACGAGAAGGCCTGGCTCTCAGTCTCCGCTCTAATTCATCCCAAAGGTGTTCTATCGGGTTGAGGTCAGGACTCTGTGCAGGCAAGTCAAGTTCATCCACACCAGACTCTGTCATCCATGTCTTTATGGACCTTGCTTTGTGCACTGGTGCACAGTCATGTTGGAAGAGGAAGGGGCCAGCTCCAAACTGTTCCCACAAAGTTGGGAGCATGGAATTGTCCAAAATGTCTTGGTATGCTGAAGCATTCAGAGTTCCTTTCACTGGAACTAAGGGGCCAAGCCCAGCTCCTGAAAAACAACCCCACACCATAATCCCCCCTCCACCAAACTTTACACTTGGCACAATGCAGTCAGACAAGTACCGTTCTCCTGGCAACCGCCAAACCCAGACCCGTCCATCAGATTGCCAGATGGAGAAGCGCGATTCGTCACTCCAGAGAACGCGTCTCCACTGCTCTAGAGTCCAGTGGCGGCGTGCTTTACACCACCGCATCCGACGCTTTGCATTGCACTTGGTGATGTATGGCTTGGATGCAGCTGCTCGACCATGGAAACCCATTCCATGAAGCTCTCTGCGCACTGTTCTTGAGCTAATCTGAAGGCCACATGAAGTTTGGAGGTCTGTAGTGATTGACTCTGCAGAAAGTTGGCGACCTCTTCGCACTATGCGCTTCAGCATCCGCTGACCCCGCTCCGTCAGTTTACGTGGCCTACCACTTCGTGGCTGAGTTGCTGTCGTTCCCAAACACTTCCATTTTCTTATAATACAGCTGACAGTTGACTGTGGAATATTTAGGAGCGAGGAAATTTCACGACTGGATTTGTTGCACAGGTGGCATCCTATCACAGTTCCACGCTGGAATTCACTGAGCTCCTGAGAGCGACCCATTCTTTCACAAATGTTTGTAAAAACAGTCTGCATGCCTAGGTGCTTGAATTTATACACCTGTGGCCATGGAAGTGATTGGAACACCTGATTCCAATAATTTGGATGGGTGAGCAAATACTTTTGGCAATATAGTGTATATATATATGTATACCTAAGCATAACAAAGAAAGCAACACCATGACTCTATGGGTTACCAAGATTCAGAAATGTGCTTTAAATCAAATAATTATCATGCATTCTGTCACATCAAACATCTATATGTGTATACCTTTTTTCTATTGTATTTCTATTCCCTCTTTTTTTCTCATCTAAGATTGGATTTAAATAAGAAGATATATATTTTTGTGAGGTGTGTGCTCAGTTAAATGCACCTTGTCCCCCACTTCTCTCTGACTCATGTTTCAGTTGTCGCCCCCGCTGGAACTTTGCCAAAAGTGATATGCTGCAGGTCTCACTGTGAAATCTGCTGTTTCCACAATAAAAACACATCCAATAATATAAAATAAATAAGCATTTCAAAGTTAATTCTTCTGTCTACTGTTTTCTCCGTTGTCTATTTTGCTCATGCTTGTATATATATATATATTTCAATCTGAAAAACTCACAGAGAGAGAAAGATGCAATTAGAAGAGTTTATTGATACAATAGTTTGAACTTTGGCGCTCAGGCCTCGGCAGGAAACATAAACGCTGGTTTATACTTTAATGCAGATAAACTGATGTATGAGAATAAGGATATTCCCCCCCGGGCCTGAAACTGGTGGTGGAGTTTAGATAGGTGAAGTTTGGTTAATCCATAGAGGCTGGTATACAGGGTGATGCTTGAGTTAGATGTCACTGAATGAACAAAGTTTGCATAAACTGGCCATGAAGAGCAAGCATGAAGCGACTGTGGAGAGAAAAAACTCCCCTTTGGGAAGAAATCTCTGGCAGAACCAGGCTCAACGTGGCGGACATCTGCCGGACCGTTTAAAGTGACAGGGAACTCCATGAAAGTCTGGAGGGAGTACACACTGGAGGTGAGGTTGAAGGAGCATCGAGGAGGAGTCGGATGAGCTTACTACAGTGGTGGAGAAGGGGATGGAGGTGGGTTGTCTGAATCAAAGTCCGACATAGGAGCGATGGATCTTGCGCTTGTTGAAGAGCAGGCCTAGAGATGATTTGGAGTGGTTTTAAGTAGAGTGCTGGAAGATGATTGGGCATCAAGGAAAGTGGCTTGAAGCGGGTTGGCTGCGTCGGAGGCGGATCAGCCTCAGATTGAATGGAAGTAATCAGAGTTTCTTCAGTTGAATTTCCGCTTTAGCTTCATTTCAATCTGAAAAACTCACAGAGAGAGAAAGATGCAATTAGAAGAGTTTATTGATACAATAGTTTGAACTTTGGCGCTCAGGCCTCGGCAGGAAACATAAACGCTGGTTTATACTTTAATGCAGATAAACTGATGTATGAGAATAAGGATATTCCCCCCAAAAATTGCCGAGGTACAGGCCTGAGCGCCAGCATATGCAGAAAGCGGAGGGAGAAGGATGAGTACAGAAGGACTTCATTATGCACAGCTGATACACGTGATAAATGAATAATCATGACAGGGATCATAGCAGTGAGCATGGCAGAGAGAAAATAAAGGAGTTTTGCAGAATGCTTAGCAGGGTGCATTGCAGGAAGCATAGAAACATTGCAGGAAGCATAGGAACATGCAGGGAGCATAGCAGAAAGCAAGGCAGGAAACGACAGGGGATGTGGCGAGGAAGCAGGTTGGAAACACACAGGGAGCAGGCAGGGAGCAAGGCCAGGACCACAGGGAGCATGGCAGGGAACAAGGCCAGGGACCACAGGGAGCTTGGCAGGGAACACACAGGGAGCATGACAGGGAACAGGGCCAGGGACCACAGGGAGCGTGGCAGGGAACACACAGGGAGCACGGCAGGGAACAAGGCCAGGGAGCACGGCAGGGAACAAGGCCAGGGAGCACGGCAGGGAACAAGGCCAGGGAGCACGGCAGGGAACAAGGCCAGGGAGCACGGCAGGGAACAAGGCCAGGGAGCACGGCAGGGAACAAGGCCAGGGTGCACGGCAGGGAACAAGGCCAGGGTGCACGGCAGGGAACACACAGGGAGCACGGCAGGGAACACACAGGGAGCATGGCAGGGAACACACAGGGAGCATGGCAGGGAGCATGGCAGGGAGCACACAGGGAGCATGGCAGGGAGCAAACAGGGAGCATGGCAGGGAGCACACAGGGAGCATGGCAGGGAACAAGGCCAGGGACCACAGGGAGCATGGCAGGGAGCACACAGGGAGCATGGCAGGGAGCACACAGGGAGCATGGCAGGGAGCACACAGGGAGCATGGCAGGGAGCACACAGGGAGCATGGCAGGGAGCACACAGGGAGCATGGCAGGGAACACACAGGGAGCATGGCAGGGAACACACAGGGAGCATGGCAGGGAACACACAGGCAGCATGGCAGGCAGGTAAAGTGGCAGGGATCACACAGGGAGCGTGGCAGAGCGCATGGCAGGGAACATGACTCACGGGGAGCATAGCGGGAAGCATAGCAGGAAACACCCAGGGAGCATGGTAGAATGCAAGGCAGGGAATGAGGCAGGGAACACACAGGGAACATAGCAGGGTGCGTGGCAGGGAGCAAGATTTAGCAAAGATGAGAATATATTTTAAACCACCACCAGTATTCAAAGTTAGCTTACCTTACAGACAGAGAGAGCGTTGAGCTGCTAAGATTGAAGAGTGTTCAGGGCGGATATAGGATTTATAGGCTGAAAAAGTCTATCGGCCCAACTGCCGGAGAGAAGCCACAGAGACACCACGAGCAGCTGTTTTGTGGCTGCCCCTATCCTAAATGAGTGGCTGGAATAATGACTGGATGAAAAGCCACAGGATTCTAATAGTATTCTGAGATGGTCTGGAACCGGCATGGTGACGCGGGAGAACCCTTGCGCGTGACGAAGTGGCTTGAAATGAGGGAAAAACTTTTTGGCGCTTTGAACAGATTAAAGATGGTGATAAACGGGCAAAGGGGCCATCTGTACGTAAGATAGAAATAAAACAAGGGCCTTTCCTTTAGAATGATTCAAGATATTTGTAAGATCGATGTGGAAACGAAGATCCGAAAGAGACAAATGCCGGGAAGGATCGAAACGACTATTAGTTGAAGTGAAGCTAAACCTGATTTATGTAGAAACTGGAGGAAGAAAGTACGAACGAAGAGAGTGGGTTAGTTAAGGATGAGTTCTTCTAGCGGAGGAACGGGGGTCGGAAGGAGATCGGGAGAAGGACGAAGATGTGGAAGGTCTGAAATTAAAACGAGAAAGAGCATCAGCAGCATGGTTAGAAAGACCAGGAACGTGTCGAGCAGAGATGATGGAGTTGTAAGAGACTGCTTGCCAAGTTATGCCTCTAATGAATGGCATGAGAGATTGAGAGGAGGAGCGACCTTATAGATGACGTCGACGACTGCCATGTTGTTGCAGAAGCGGATATGCGCTTTCTCCTCCAAAGCGGGCCCCACAGACGGCAAGCTACGGCTAAAGGTAAACCTCGCATAGCGCAAATGACTGAGAACTAGTAAAAGAGGGAGGCCATGAACCAGCAAACACCTGTCCTGAAAGAAAC